TGGATTTCATGTGATCTGATTTCCAGTAAAGGAGAGACTAGCGGGCCTTAAGATGTTGAGGAAGTTTGGTGCAGCGAGGAAGGGAGAATGATTTGGCTCAGCACAGAAGGGATCAGGTCTTCCACAGCCAGGCAGCCCACAGAAAACCCCCAGGTGGACCCAAGTGGGCCCCTGGGGCTGCCTCGATGGTGCAGGTGTGGGGAGATGGTGCAGGCGCTGGGCCCACAAGGTCTTCATGGCTCAGAACCCAGGCCTTGCCCACGGGGCTCCCTAAGAGTTATTTCCTTCTGGGGTAGTAGAACGTCTTGCCTGGAGGCACCAAAGGCAGCCAGCTCCACTTCTACACTCCTCAGATGTGGACAGAGGGGGTCTCACTCCATGCTGGCTTCCAAGAGCAGAGAACGTCGGTGTGCCTCCCACGGACACAGGAGGCTTGAGCTGCATCCACTGCCTGCAGCCGCCCAGGTGTTATCTTGGGTTCTGTTCCTCCACTGTTCTGGAGTCACACAAGTAAAACAGCCTTGAACCTACCTGGCCAAGTCATCATTCTCACCCCAGCTCAAACCCAGGCCCCTCCTGGTGGTCTCACCTAGTGGACGGTGAAGGAGCAGGTCTCGGAGAGCACAGGACAGGCTTTCGAGGGGTGAAGGGGGGAGCAGAGGTCTGGCACCCGGGCTGGATGCAGTGCACTGTGGGCAGCGATAAAACCAGATGAAGATAAATGTCTGGTGACCCCCGTGTACTCTGCACACATTCTGGAGGCTTTGCTGCTTTAGTTAATTAGTGTTCGTGTTGGCTAAGGCCACAGGTGAATTGCTGTGCGTTCATTCAACAAATGTGCATTGGGTCCTACTGTGTGCCTGGCACTGTTCTGGGTACTTGGATACAGCTGTGAACAAAACATGCACAGGTTTCTGCCCTGGGGGTGCTGACAGGAAGGGAGTCAGGCAGTAAGCAAACCAGTACTACCCAGGGTGCACAGGAGAGGCCCTGGCAGGCAAGGGACAGAGGTGTTGGAAGGCGGTGGCAGTCTTGATGGTGTGTCGGGAAGACTGTCGAGAAGTGGCATTGAGCAAAAGCCCAGAATGAGGTGGGGAAGCGACGCACATGTGTATCTGGGGGAAGAGTCCCTGGCTGGCGGGACAGCAAGTGGCAGACACGGCACGTCCAGCACACCGGAGGAACAGCAGAGAGCTCCCTGTGCGTGGAAGAGAGTGAGGCTGGATTCAGTGGGGTCAGAGCCCATAGGACAGTGTAGTCCAACAGGACTTTCTGAGGTGATGGGAATGCTGTCCAATGTGATAGACACTAAACACGGAGGTGGCTCCTGAGCACTTGGAATGTGGTGGTTGCGACTGAGGATCCAGTTGCAGGTTGTATTTAATTTTAAGTAACGTAAGTTTAAATAGCCCCGGGTGGCCAGTGGTTGCGGTGCTCCTCAGCGCGGACATGGCCAGCAGGGAAGGCTCCTTTAGGACCACATGTGAGATGCTCGCTGGCATCAGTGAGCAAAGAGAGGCCAGGGGTGAGGGCAGCTCAAGGCCCAGAGCCTGCAGGCAAGACCCTGAGTGAGACCAAAGGATGCGGCTGAGCCCAACTTGGCATCCCCAAAGCAGACACCTCCCGCCTTGCTCACAGAGCTGCAGCGCATGTCCAGCATGTGATGTGCAAACACTTAGCACCCGACACTGTGATTATTTTGTACAAATATCCCAAAGAAGCAAAACCTGAGGGCACTGAGAGCCGGCTCTCTACGTGGAGGTGATGAAAATGGGATGAGAATAGGCAGCCACTCGGGGCAGTGGGTGGGCCAGCAGGGCACCCGCCGAAGGCTCCCTCCTGCCTCTGCCCTCACTTCCTCCTGAGGGTCAGCTCAAAGGGTGGACCTCCGCACAAATTGCAGACGCTTTTGGAACGCTGTCAGCCTGCAGATGTGCCGATTAAATGACCCATGAAGAGGATCTTTGAAAACAGCTGCTGTGCGTGATGCGTCTTCCTTGGTGCTGGTGGCTGCGTCTTTTCTCCACGTAGTGTGTTGGTATTTCAACCTCTCCCAGGCCGGCTCCTCTCCTGTCCACCTGCTGCATGGCAGGGTGCCCACGGCCCCTGTGCCCACGAAGCACTTGCTGAGGGAAAGTGAATGAATAAGAAGCCGGGAGGTTTCTGTCTGCCCTGTGATTCGTGTGAGTTTTGAACATCTATTTCAATCACAATTGACTATTTTGATGCCGTGGAGCCACAACTTTGTAATTTACAGAGTGTGGTTCCTTTACGCTTCCAAATTAAGATATGTGAAGATTTTGGGGGTGTGCCCTGAAACCTAATTCTTTACTTCTTGGAGACTGTGGTGTAATTCCGAAGACGGAAGCAGACGCCTTCAGTGTGCCTGCGTGCACTGGGGCAGCAGGTCACAGAGCGGTGACTGATCCGAGAGAAGTCACTGCCACTGGCCTCTCTGTCCACCTTGAAACAGATCCACTAAGAAGAAAGTCATCAGAATGCTTGGGTGGGGAGAGGAGGAGGAAGACCCCCCATGCCTGGACTAGACAAAGGGAGACAGACGGTGGGTTTGTGTACAGTGAGATCATCCGTGTGCACACACTGCACACGGCACAGGCTTGGAAGGGACAGTCAGTCACGCAGAAGCAATTCTAGACTCCAGAGGCCATGAACTGGGCGGCTTTGTGATTTGACAAGTGTTTTAACCCTCATAACCTCTGCTTTGTCCTTTGTAAAATGGAAATGACAATAAAAATAGTAATAACACCTATTTCCAGAATTGCTATGAGAATCCAGTGAGCTTAGTTATATAAAACTCTTTGTAAACAAACAAACAAAAAAAGAAACTAAAAACTAAAATATACACAGCAGATCTGTCACTTGTGCGAGAGGCTGTCCATCCTAATGTGACCAGCGTTGCTTGGCAGAGTCACTGGGTGGCTCCTGAAAGTCGGGGTCTGAGCTGAGGTGAGGGCTGGGAGAAACACTGTCCCCCCAGCCTGCTCTCTGCCTCTCTGCGGGGTCTTTGGACACGGGTGGGTGTGTCACAGACAGGACCTCCTGAGCACCCTTTTCTGCAGCTCAGGAGTTCCAACGTGAGTCCCCGACACCCCAAAGCCACCTTTTCTGTGAGGCCCGTGAAGTCTCTGCGCCACACATCCTTCCTGCAGATGCGGTGGCCGGGAAGGTCGCATGCACCTGGGTAGTAGCCTGGTCCCTGCGTCTCCCGTGAATTACGCATCCCTGGGGGCTGCTCCGTTTTCCTTCCCTGATAGCCGTAATGACGATGATTTTCATTTCCCTTCACTGTTCTGGAGACCGTGTGGGAGATGGCGCGCAGAGAGAATAGAAATTTCACAGACATGGCTCTGTGGAGGGTGCCATGTGGCCGCAGAGGCACGGAGGAGCCGCCGCAGCAGCTGCAGTGACTTGGCAGGCAGTGCCGGGAGGGGAGACGCGGCAGGGAGCTCAGACCCCTGCCCCGCAGGCCTGTCCATGTGTGGTGGGTGGACAGAGGGTCCAGCTTCCACCCAGGGCCATCTGGAGAAGGCCTCGCTTGCATTTGACTGAGCCCATCAAAATTTGCCCATTTTCCTTGGTCACCAGAAAAAAGCGGAGTCCTCCCAGGAGTGTCCCTTGTTTGGCTGCAGTGCCGTGGCGTCTGCATGATGATTAGAGGCTGGTTGGTAGTTTTGTGTGCATTTAATTAGCAAAGACAGGAAAGCACACTTGGGGCCTCCTCAGCGTGTTTGTGAGCAGGAGCCTCTGGGGGTCTCAGGGTGCCTGTGGCAAGGCGTGGGCAGGCTCGCGTCCATGCAGGTGTTGCCCTCGCAGGGCACACCCACCTTTGTTTTCTTCTGGCACCTCAGGTGACCGCCTCCTTCCAAAGCCAGGCAAGGAAGTGGCCAGCCTCACTGTGCACTGCGGTGTGTTCCCAGGTGTCTCCCACCCACACCAGGAGCCTGGTGTTTAACAGCCTCTGGCAGCTGGCAAAGGGAGTTAGGGAGCTGATGACCCTCCTTCAAGAAGAAAGGCATCATTTGTTTTTTGGGAAACTGTATCTGGAGTAAGATAGGACTCCATCCTTGTATAATAAACTCACAGAAATAGAGTGACCCCGGTTTGGGGACCAGCCAGCGTGCGTGTACCGTGTTTTGATGAGGAAAGACAGTCGCACGGGGAGCCCCAACACGTGGGATAACCAAGTGGAAAACAAGCCTCCTCTGCACTCGAGCTCCTGGGGCGGGGGAGCCTTTAGCGGCCCCAGCCATTTGGCGTCCCGGGCACCGTGCGCCCTCTCTGGGAGGTTCGGGCGGTGGTTCTCACTGCGAGGTGAGCGCTGGAATCTTCTGAGCAGCTTTTTTAAAATTCCCGTGCTCAGTTCGTTAGCCCCCAACACACACCCCTCCTCCATCAGAGCCCCCAGGAGCTTCCCGGTCAGGCTGGGGACGAGCCCCACCTTGTAACTGGACCACGCAGCAGTCTCAGGGCAGCTTCTTACAAAGCAGTTGTCGGTTCAGAGTCGAGGAAAGGATTCAGGGGACAGTGTTCTCCTGTCCACACCAGCCCTGCCTTGTCCTGTAAACTAGTGGGGAGTCTCAGGTAAAAAGTAAAGTCCATGTGGGGTATATATGCCTTCTGAAATCCCCGATCCATCCTGGCTAGATCATACCTTTGTCCCCAACATCCGGGCACAGAGTGCCCACAGATCTTAGAAATAATTGGTTTCTGTAGGATTTTAGCTACTGTTGAGTGACCCAAGAGCCCTGTACATAGGATATTTTTTCTTTTTGTCCTTGGTAAGGGTTTCCTTGAGGAAATCCTTTTCGTGAGGCTGTACACTTGCAGCAATGACAATGACACTCACGGTATGAGCAGCCGCGGCTGCCTTCCCGGAGGGCCTGCTCTAGCCGAGTACCATCCCCCTGCCCCGGGCGTCCCGAGAATGATTCCATAGTAATCTTTTCTCCTCTCCCACCCTGCCTGTGTCCCTCCTGCAGAGCGACTACTCCAGCGACACTGAGAGTGAGGACAACTTCCTCATGATGCCGCCGCGGGACCACTTGGGCCTCAGCGTCTTCTCCATGCTTTGCTGCTTCTGGCCCTTGGGCATCGCGGCCTTCTACTTGTCCCACGAGGTAAGGCCCCTGCCGGGCGGTGGCACACACACATGGCGGTGTTGTTGCAGGCACAACAGGCCCAGGAGGTGGAGAGCTGGGGAAGCATGTTCAGCTCCTGCAGGGGGTTAGGAGTGGAGGGTCCACACATGAGTGTCTGGAGGACAGGTCAGGAGAACTCGGGGTGCCCTGGAGGGCCGTGTGGGGCCACCCAGGCTGCCTCATCTCAGACGTGGCTCTATCCTCGCAGAGGCAGGACTGAGATCAGGTGTGACAGGAGCAGGCATCCACTCAGTGGAAGGCAGGTGACCTTCACTTAGGCCTGCGGTCAGACCAGCTGGGTCAACCCTGTGCTGGGGAGCAGCACCGTCCCCGGGTAGAGAACATGGAACTTGCTGAGAGAGGAGGAGCCTTGTTAAAGGCTCTTTCCTATGAAACAAATTCGAGTTCTACACCAGTCGGTGTGTAGCCATTCCGGATGAATGCCTTGCTCGTGGGAATGGCACATCTCAGTGTGTCACTGTGCCTGCCCTCCCCACTGTGGAACTTCTAAAGGTCTTGAATCCCAGCTTTTTTTCACTACAAAGCATGCTGTTTGTTGGCCCCTCATGGAACCCAGGTTTTGAAAAGATTCGAAAGACTTTTCTCTAGCAAATGAAGAGCATTCATTCAGAAATCAGCTATGTTCCTATGTTTATTAATCAAAGACAGACATTTACACTTGCCAGATAAAGCCTGAGCTTACAGCATCGCCACACCCACTCTGTCATCCCTACCAAAGCAGGGCCAGTGTGGTGCCCAGCACCCAGGGGGCGTTCTCAGGCAAGCTGAAAACTCCTCGGGGCATATGGGGTTCCCGCCCAGCTTCTGGGGTTCTGGGACTGAGACTGCAAACAGCTGACCCTGACAGGTCCTTTGTCTGAAATAGTTTCCTGGTGTCTGTATTGAGTGGGTTTGCTGGGCTGGTGGGAGGAGAGCCCACCCCTGCCCTTGTGTGCTTTTCTGCTTCCCAGCTGCACATCTTGAGAGGCAACTGGCCCCCTTCCCGGCAGTGCCAGGAGGAGCAGGGAAGAGTGATGGGCAGACTGTGGCTCCCCCAAGCAGGGACACGAGAGGCCGAGAAGCCCTTGCAGGAGGGGGCGGTGGGAGGGGCAGGTGGGGCCCTGCTCTGCCGTGTGCTGTGGTCCTGGTTCTGGAGGGCAGGGGACAGAGGTAACAGGGAAACCCTCCACTGAGGCTGGGCCGAGAGCTATTCCGAACCCAGCTTTGGGCTCCAAGATTTGTGTGAGCTTCTCTTTTGTGAAGTTGTCTCATGAATGCCACAGACCCCTTTGCCTGGTGGCACCCAGTGGACAGCCAGCCCCCCAGGTCTGGCTAGGGTTGGCAGGGCCTGGGGGCTGTGGGCTGCAGGCAGGGCTGGGGGAACCCTGGCTCTAGGCCAAGGCTGTGGAGGCTGCGTGTGCTGTGGACTGGGACACGCAGGGATCTGGAGAGGAGGGTGTGGCTGGCCGCCCGCCATGGACAGAGCCTGCCTGCCTGTGTGAACTGCACCCCAACGCTGCAAACAGGCGAGAGCAATCAGCTAGGAAAGGGGAGGTCAGACCACAGAGCAGAGAGCTGGGTCCTCCCACAGCATGGGCATTGATGGCTTTTCCCAGGAGCTGAAGAGGTGACATCAAACATGCCCCTAAAGCCTCCCTCCCACACCCCACCCCTGTGTCCTCTCTGCATAGAGAAGGATGGGGCAGCCTCACCTTCCTGGGGCCCAGCTGCTGAGATAAGCTCTTCCCTCCCTGGCAGGGGGAGCACCTTCAACGCTGGAGCTGTACTTTGAATTTTAGAACAGGACTGATACTTTTATCTTGGATTCCACTGGAAGAGGTGCTGCCTGTTCACAGAGACGAGAGTGCGCATCTTGTGAACGAGCCCGGAGGGTACAGGGTGGTCGGGGGAGCCCTGGAAAAGTGGCGGGGGCCGCAGGGAGAGGCTGCCTGTCCTCTGTCAGCAACAGTCCGAGGACACACGTCATGTCCAAAAGATTGTAATTATAACAGAAATCAAGGCTACAATCTCAGGGACTGGCATTTAGAGTCTCTTTCTCCGAAAGTAATTTTATCCTATCACTGTAAGAGCCTCTTAGACTTGGGTCTGGTGACTCATAGCATTTAATACCTTAGATGGTAAAGGGCATTTTTATTGTCTGTTTAGCAGCAAATGTGAAATGCAGTTTCTGTAGAGGCTTCCGATCACATTTTTTGGAGCTGCAGCTCGGACATTTTTGTGGAGTGTAGGGACCATCTTCACTGTTGTCCTAAGAGAGGAACTCCCGGGGCCACGGCCTGTCGTTTCCCTTTTCCTTGTGCCTGGAGAATAGATTTGAGTGGGACCATGGCAGAGAAGAGGTGCTGACATTTTTATGAAAGTATCTGTGGAGGGGAGTCCCCTTCCCAGGGCCTATACCCACATCCTTTCCAAATCCGAGCTCACGTTCCCAGGCAGCCCCCTTTACAGTCTGCGGCGGTGGCACTGCCGGGTCCTGCTGCAGATCCAGGAGCTGAACAGCCCTGCGCACTGTGCTTGGGCCGGTCACGAGACCGCTGTGCTTTCCGTTCCCAGCCCACACCACACTCCAGCAGGCCACTGGAGCAGACAAAATAGAACAGACACGCTCTGAGATCCTTACGCTAAATTAAATCAGTGCTTTCCTAGGCGAGGCCAGCTGGGAGTGCCACCCCGGGTTGGAGAGAGGAGAGGCTGGGAGCCGTCTCTGGGGGGCCTGCAGGCTGTGGCCAGGGCCTCAGTGCCCCGAGGCGTTGGTGTGGGAGGTGACACAACAGGGCAAGGAGTGCACTAAGGAAGCCGAGGCTCTCCAGGCCCCCAGTGCTATTCACAAGGACGTCTCTGACATCGAAGTGTGCCTTTTGGGGTTTTTTCCCTTTTATCATGGATCACATGATGCAGTGTGCTCACGGACAATTAGGCTGTGTCTGCTCACTGTCAAAATAACACCTCAGTTCAGGCCAAGGAACATGCAAGGCCATTCCAAAAAAACCCAAGAAAACAAATTGCAAAGGTGTGGTTACACGGGACAGCAGTGGAAACAATTAACGACATTCCTGGAATTATGAACCCTGCATATGTTTGTTCTGTCCTTTTCTAACCAGGTCCCGTTCAGCAGGCAACTCCCCTGTGCCTCAGTTTCCTGACCCATAGCATGGTGTTAAAATGATTCCCAGGGCCTGGGATCCTGAGGCTTAGAGACGTGGGGCAGGTAGAAGTCTCCAGGAGATTCCTGGCAGGGAGCGGTGCTGGCTGCGCACCGCGGGAAACCTGGGTGGTCCGTGCCTGCGGGTCCAGAGGCAAATGGACACCTGGAAGGAGACTGCCATGCTTTTTTCCAACAGAGCTCTCTAATCCTAGAAAGGCGCTCCTTAAGTGGTAGTAACAGCAGTAATAAAAGTGTCAGTAAGGTGGGTAGCATTTGCGGAGCACTTGCCCCGCGCCAGGTCCTGCGTTGGAGCTGTGCACCCTTGCTTCTGGGTTGTGGTCCTGAGCCAGCAGTGCCGGCATCCCCCGGACGCTTGCTAGAAACACACATTTTCTGGCCCCACCGCAGACCTGCTCCATCGGAGTCTCTGGGGTGGGACCCAACAATCTGCATTTTAGGGAGCCCTCCAGCTGGTTCTGAGTGTGAGTAATGCTGCTGTACACACATGACCTCGTAAGAACTCGGGCAGGGGTGCTGAAATTGGGTTCCGTGAGGTTGAGGGACGTGCTGAAAGCCAAGCTGGTTAGCAGTAGGTCCGGCTCGCCGGCCGCCCTCTCTGGGCAGGCAGCTGGGTTGGCCCTGAGCCGCGATGATGGACTCGGGGTGGGGGCAGATGAGTGCAGCACGTTGTCCACAACTTCATTTTGCCCCAACCATGTGAACTGTCTGACCCAGCTCCCAGTGCAAGCACGTTTTGTGAACCAGTTTACAGACACCCAGGTGCGGGTGTGTGCAACTTTGGTGGCGCGGCTCCACCTGGGAGCCGCTACTTCTGAATGGTGCCGAGCCTGGAAATGAACCCCTTACTCTGCCGAGTGACTGCTGTAAGCTAGTGAATGTGCACATTTTATCTTATTTAATCTTTGCCATGAGTCTGGAAGGTGGAAAATTATTATCTCCATTTCATAGACTGAAAAAACCTGAAGTTTCAAGGGATTGAGTAACTTAAAACACAGAGGTAGCAAGTATGAGTATACGAGACAAATATTAATATTTCTGACCATTAAAACCAAATTTTCTGTAATGTAACTTTGACTTTCATCTGTTTATAAATAGAACCACAGTCCTTGCTTCCAATCCACTGTCCCCTGCCCCTGGGAGAGCCTGAAGAGGGTGGTCATGGAGGAAGGGAAGCCCATGCTGAACACGACGTGCCTTTGCCCTCCCGCCCTTCACTGGATCCCATGTGACAGGTGGCAGCTGCACACTGAAGCGGGAGCCCTGCCCGAGGGCACCTGCACTGGGCAGGCCTGAGGTTACATGTGCTGAGTCTGCTGGCGGACGTCTTTGCATTCAAGCATTTTTTATATCTTGATCTAATTTTATTTCATAAAATGTTTCTTGCCTCTACCAACTGCAACATTATAACAATAATTAAATGAGAAAAGAGTATTAAGAACCAGATTATGAATTTTATGAATAGTACCAGCAAAGGGAATTGGGCAAATTAGGGAGAAAAAATGGAATCTCTTTATGGTACTGAAAATCTGGACGGACAAGAGTCCAGCCTAGCTGATAGCAGTGCTCCTCGAAACCCATTCATTTATCCACCGTTTATTGAATACTGCCCCTGTGCCAGGCCCTGCTCTGGGTGGCAGGGAGGCAGCAGTGAACAAAACGGAAAAAAAAAACCCTTCACAGAGCTGATGTTCTAATGCCGAGAGCAGGCAATAAACCAAGGAAAATGGTAGAATGTCCAATGGCCAGGAGTATAAAGGAGAGAAATATAGTTGGAAACGGATATACGAGTGCA